CTGCCTAGTGGAATGGACCTGGGGTGAGGGATTGTAAAACAATAAAAGAATTTATCTTTTACTTTTCCAAGAGGGTAGTGTACTGGGGAGAGAGCTGGGAGGGGAGAAAAGTGCAACAATGAATGAATAGAAATGCAAAATATCTGTAAATTTTCGTTGAAATTAATAATTTTCTTAAAAAAGTAAAAATTAATTAAAAGATTCACAGAGCTCAAAGAGATCCCAAGATATTAACCCTTCCCAGAGGTAACTCATGGTTACTGTGATGCTAAAACACTGGGACACTGATGTGTCAAATGCAATAATGGTTACCCATGGTGGACAGTGTTTGGTGGAGCTCCCCAATTAAAACAAGCTTGGAAGCAGGAGTGGCATCCACTTCTGGAATAGTTTGCCTCTGGAAAAGTCTATGAACGTGGAGAAAAGACCAAAGATATACAAGTGTTGTTTAGGACTTTTGTTCATAGGGTCGCTATGAGTCGTCTGTGACTAGACAACAGTTAACAACAACCTAAAAGGAAAAAAAAAAACCAGCTCACTTACATCTGGCATATTCCAAGAAATTGAGGAATGCTAAATAAATATGTAATGGAATGCTGTATAGTTTTTCTATGAGTATGGTTCTTATGCCTGGTTTTCTATTTCAGGGTGATGTTGACCAAGTAACACTTTATAGCTACAAAGTTCGGTCCACAATTACATCTCGTATGGCCAATACTGTCATCCAGAGCAAGATGGTTAACAACTCGCCACTACCTCAGAATGTCATGTTTGATGTTCAGATTCCCAAAGGAGCTTTCATTTCCAACTTTAACATGTGAGTAACTCCTAAACTAAGATCTTCTGTACACACTTCCAAGTGGTACTTTTTATTTGAATACTTTGTTGTTGTTGTTGTTGTTGCTGCTGCTGCTGTTGTTGTGTACCACAGAGTTAGAACTGACCCATAGCTGACCCTCCAGTGACTTTGCAGAAGCAATTAATCCCACAAGGATGGAGATTGCCCATCTTTATCACATGGAGCTGCTGGTGGAGCCCAATTGTGTGCTTTCAGGATTGCAAAGCAGCTTCTGGCCATTAGACCACCCGATCTCCTTATTTGAATACTTTAAGATTTCTTTTATACTTAAAACTCTGCAATTCTCCTGCTCTGACAAACCATCACTCCTTGAGGATTAGGTGACAGCACTTAAAAGTAAAGTTGTTGTTGTTGTTGTCATTGTTGTTGTTGGATGTGCTGGAGTCGACTACAACTAACAGTGACCCAATGAACCATGGATGTGAACCTTGCCCTCTCCTGAGCCATCCTCAAGATCTCCAACATGGTGGAGCCCTTGTCACAATCATTGTGTCAAGCCATCTCCTTGAGTGTCTTCCTGTCTTTCACTGACCTACCTTTCCCATCAGTGTGTCCAGTAGAGATAAAGATGTAAAAAGACAGTTACAAGCCCCAAAGAAGAAGTTAAAGGGATAAACACAAACTGTGTGGAGGGATTCACCAGTCCCTTCCTACATTTCTCTTTACTCTTTCTCATATGTGCAGGAAAGCATAAGACCCTCGAGCTATGCCAAATTCTAAACATATAAATGATTCGATAAAGCAAGTGCAACCCAAATTATTATAATCTATTAGCCACTTTTCCTAGGCATATTTTTAATTCAAAAGAGACACCCAAAAAGGTTAGAACCTGAAGAATAGCATTTGAAAACAAGGGGAGAAACTTAACACAGCACTTGAGGGGAAATTTTTAGACTAGGAAACTACTTAAAAACAAAACAAAAAAACCACCACCACCAAAAAACCAAGATCTACTATTCTCAACTCTGACAGCCGAGGTATTGAAATGTAGAACTACTCCATTGGGTTGGTTCTTTGCCTGCAATCTGCACGGAACCAGATTATCTTTCATGATGTCACTTGTAGGCTAATACTTCCAAATAGATTAGTACAATCAATTTGTGCTAGAGTCTATGTAGTTGTTGTTGTTATTTGCCATCAAATTGCCTGTGATTCACAGCCACCATATATACAATAGTTCTGAACCCTGCCCTATACTGATCTAGTCTCACTGTCTCCGACATACTTACCCCCCAATTACTGAGTCAATCCATCTCATCTTAGGTTTTCCTCTCCTGTGCTTACTCTCCACCCTTCCAAGCATGATGTCCTTCTCCAAGGACTGTTACCTTCTGGCCACATACCTAAAATATGTGAACTAGAGGCTGCAAAATCCTTGCCTCCAAGGAGCAGCTCAGTTTTAGCCTCTCCAGGACAGATTTGTTTATTCTCTTAGAAGTCCGCGGTATATTCAATACTCTTCTTCAGGGCCACAACTTAAAGGCATTGATTCTTCTTCTTTCAGTTTTAGTCATTGTCCAGCTCTCTGATGCATAGCAATTAATTGCAAAGTCTATGGATTTGGTGTGTGCCTTAGTCTCTAGATTGACATCATTACTCTTAAGTACTCTGGAGAGGCCCCTGGCAGCAGACTTTCCCCAATGCAATTCATATTTTGATTTCCTGACTGCTGGTGCCAAAAGTGTTAATTGTGGAACCAAGAAAGGTGAAATGGTTAACAATTTTAATCTTCGCCATCTATCATGAGCCTATAGTTCCTCTTACATCACATCATATGACAATGGAAATCTTCTTTACAAAATATCCTAATATCAAATAATTTCTTTTTGTTTCTTCTGTTGTTCTATCCCACCAAGTTACTCATAGCTGAGCTTTTAGTGGGTTTTCAGGTATCTGTTTGAAGACTAAGGTGCACCTGATACAGGACATGATTGTTTTCAATCACTTGCTATGTATCTATTCCATGGACTATAATATTCCGTGGACTGCAAAAAAACACACACAGATATGTCCTGGAAAATGTACAGCCAGAGTGCTCCTTGGGTGGCAAAGTTAGGAGAGGCTATTCCTTGGAAAAGCACATCATGCCTGTGCAACAATGAATGAATGAAAACCAAAAATCTCTGTAAATGTTCATTAAAACTAATAAAAAATATATTTTTTAAAAGGCACATCATGCTTAGAAAGGTGGAGGGTTAGATAAGGAACTGAAGATCCTCAGTGAGATGGATTGATTGGCATAGTGACTGCAGAAACAGGCTCAAGTGTGTCTGAGATTATGATAATGGCACAGGGTACAAGAGGGATCATATCTGTTGTTCATAGGGTCGCTATGAGTCATACTCAACTCGAGGGCACCCGACAACAACAAATGGTAAAGAAGGAGTTTTCCCATCTTTCTCCAGTGGAGCAGCTGATGGATTCAAGCCACATGCCTTTGGGTTGACAGTGCCATCCCTTTCCACTAAGCCACCAGTAGTAAAAATGTCTGTCTCTTTTCCCTCCTTGAATAAATTAACCTTATTGGGTTGTTTTCTGGGCTTTTGTTTTACCAAGACTGAATTTCTGGCCAACTGGCTGCCTTCTGTCATTTTCTAGGACGGTTGATGGCACAACATTTACCAGTTCCATTAAGGAGAAATCTACAGGCCGAGCACTCTACTCACAGGCACGAGCAAAAGGCAAGACCACTGGACTGGTGAGGTAAGGACTGGGCGAGCATAGCCTGCCCTCTTACTTCATTGTCTGCCCTTCTTCATATCCTATCCTCCATGGCAAACCCACAGGCCTCCAACAGGGGACAGAGCATAACAAACATTGACGAGCTCGTACAGTCTCACCATTTCCCAAAGGCTTATTAATAAATGGATTTTGTGTGATCTCACACCTATCCTTCATTTTACTGTTCTTCAGATAGGCGGGTGTTACGTACATAAACATTGGTGTTCTGAAAGTCTGCATAAAATAACTAGTAATATTGATGATCTTGCAACAAAGCTTACTATACATACAGAGATAAAAGTTTAGAGTTTGTTTTCATGATTTACTCTGCCTCATGTTTATGAAGTAAGTTCTTCTTAAGCATCAGTAGCTTAGATTCTTTCTTTCTCTTTTCCCTCTTAAAATCTTAAGTAAACACTGAGAATACCAACTCCCTTGCAAAAAAAAAAAGTCAAGAAACATCAGTAAAATTTTAACTCACCAGAACATAGCAAGACTATCTATCTAATCTCATGCCAAATCCTGCCATCTTTTTTACCTCATATCTTCCTCCTCCGTATCCCCAAACTGAATGTTTATTTTGTTCGTGCATTTGTTCATTCAATAAAAATGTTTTGAATGTTAATTCTCTTAGAGATGGCAGCAACATAGCAACAAACATTGTTAGGCTGGTTGAGGAAACAGAGCATTCCAAGACTCAGGGTACTAAAATTCTGTCTACAGGTCCAGGAAATCAGATAGAACTGGCTAGTTCAAATAGATCAATAGAATTCAGTCAGGTATAGGGAAGAAATATTAAACAGAGAGGCCATCTCCAGTATCACTTAATCAGTTCTTATACCCTTTTCTATTATTTTGTCATCATTGCCATTAATTTGACCATGTTAACTACTTATTCCACAAGTATTAACTTGTACAGCAGAGAACAAAGCTTAGAAAGATCTCATGAAACTCCCACTCACATATTCCACTCCTCAAATTAAAGGCCCCATTCCTACACTTAGCTTCTAGCTTGGCATTGGACCATGCTCATCTTTTTCTTAAACTACTTAGTATTCCAGATGGAATTCCTTACAAAGCGTCATCAAACCTAAATGGGCTGATTAAACATTATCTCCTCTAACTTATTTAGTTTTAAATGATAAAACATTATTTATTGCTTATTGCTTGACTCACTGGCATATGATCTTCTCTCTTTAAAACCATTAGCTCTTCAAGGCCAGTGTTCCCCACTAGACTTAAATATCCAATGACTGAAGAAGTTCTTATACTGGAACTACATATTCAATTTTAAAATAATAGATTTTTTTTATTTTGAATGCCTTAAGAAATAAAAAAACCACCCTCTTGAATGAGTCTCAAATGTGGTATAATGAAAAGTGCACTGTGTGTGGAGTGATCCAAAAGTGAGTTTGAGTCCTAGCTACAGAGGTAGCTAACTAGGTCTGTGGTCTTAAAGAGGTTAATTATCTTCTAAGACCCTCATTTGGTGTCATCTGGTAAAAGAAAGTAATGTTATCTATATTACAGAACTACTATATTAGGGATGATACATGTCAAACAATTGACACATAATAAGAATAAATGGGAGTTTTTTTAAAAAAAAGAAAAAAATGGCACTAAAATCTGTAAGAAGCTCTGAAAGAAAAAATCATACAGGAAAGAAGCCTGAAATTCTTGATCAAATTAAATTTACTATGACTTGCATTACCTGTTCATTTTTGTGAATGAGTGCATGAGTTTTGCTGCCTAGGAATATTTGGATGATGTCCGCTGCCTAGATTCTGGGTCTTCTGGCTCTATCACACACAAGATAACTTACACTGAGGACTCACCCCTGTAGGAGCAGGGCTCTCGATATGGAGAACTTCAAAACCGAAGTGAACATTCTCCCTGGATCAAAGGTGCAGTTTGAACTTCAGTACCAAGAGGTGAAGTGGAGGAGACTGGGATCCTATGAACACAGGATTCATCTGCAGCCTGGGAGACTGGCCAAACACTTGGAGGTAAACCTGGATGTGCTAGCCTGGTGTATGATATCCACATATGAAGCCTATCCCTAATTTATACATTCTGTCTCCTCACTATTTAACTCTTGACTCTGAAAGACAGTGTGATATCTGAAAAACTTATAGCTTTGGGGTCAACCAACTTCTTAACTATTTTAAATATCATTTTGACTACTTACTAGCCTTCTAGCATAGAGGAAAATTAAATTGGATCTCCACGTCCGTATCCATAACATGCACCAATCTATTTCAGACTGTAAAAGTTGATTAAAGTCTTCAATTCCTCATCTTTGGCTTTAGTGGGTAGTGCATATATTTGAATAATAATAATTGTACTATTAGGTATTCCCTTGTATGCATATGGATAGTGTCCTGTCACTCACAGCACTGTACGTCAGGTTAGATTTTGAAAAATTGTGAATGTGCCATTCTTCCTCAATTTGTCTTTCCAAGCATAATATATCATAAGATTTTTTTTAATTCAAAGCGAACAATACCTATTCATCTTAGCTTATTAATGCCAAGAACAGCAATTTTTTTATTAATTTTAATGAACATTAACAGAGCTTTTGGATTTCCACTCATTTATTGTTGTACTTTTCTCCCTGTCCCATCCCTCCCCACCCCAGTTCATTCTTCTCTCTGAAAAGTAAAAGAAAAATTCCTTCACTGATATACAATCCCCCCACCCCACCCCGAGTACACTCCACTACGCAGCTTTCATTCTGGACTCTTGTCATAACGATAATACCCAATCATATATCGCTATTAAACTGTTCTCTCCCTCATCTGTTTCAACGTAGTATACATAATTTATTCAATTTTTCTCAGTCTCACCCCAAACCCTGATGTTAGTCCCATTCTACAACAGTGGCACTATGCAATATTTGTCCTTTTGTGACTGAGATATTTCACTCAGCATAATGTCCTCCAGGGTCACCCATTTTAATAATATTGCATGAGTTCCTTGTTTTTCGATGCTGCATAGGATTCCATTTTGTGAATATCTCAGAGCTTCTCTATCCATTTGTTTGTTAATGGGCACTTAGGTTGTTTCCAACTCTTTGCTATTGTGAACAAAGCCACAATAAACCCGTGTGTACATATATCTGCTTGGGTAGCAGTTAT